AAGGAATGTCCCCAACTGAGCTCCACTAACAAGGGAGCATGGTCCAAGATCCCTCGTGGCAGAAAGCGCACCCCGGTGACCCATGGAAAGATTGTCGGGGTCACAAACGCCAAGTTTATCCTGGATAGCGTCTTATGTGTAGCAGAGTGGCATGAGTAGGCCCTAGTGTCTGGCCATTTCCATCTCCACACATCAAGAAGACCAATTCCCTGGATCCAGTCTGTGAATCTAATATTAGGTCGCCCCCCTACCACCATGCGGTCCAGTAGGGGATTCGGGGCCAGGTTGAAATCACCCATAATCATTAGGGGGGCAGTAGGCATGGACAAGGCAGCAGTAGTGACGGTATGGAGAATGTCCACATCCGCGAGGCCAGCGTCAGGAGAGTCCCATCTATGGTCATGTGGAGGATAACATATCTACTAAGTGGGTCGGTTTTAACCTGAAGAACAGCAGCATTAAGTGATTTGGCCAACAGAATAGACACCCCCCGCGAATATGATGAATATACAGCATTAAAGGCATTGGCTACCCAGTGCTTTTTCAGTGCCAGTACCCTAGAGCCCAACAAGTGGGTCTCCTGCAGACATATCACATGCGGCTTGAGTTTAAATAGAAAATCAAACACTAGGGAACGCTTGAGGTTGGAATTCAAACCCCGAACGTTCCATGATATAAATTTATACACCATCAGAGAACAGGCAAAGCGTCAGGCTGACTAGGAGATGAACCTGTGAAGTTAAGAAGTGTAACCTTACAAACCAGTGTGGACTGCAGAGAGGCATAGTATACGAACAGTAAAATACAACAACAGTCATCCCAACGTAAACTACTATTCGAAATCCCACCCCGCTTGTTAACCCAACTCTAACAAGCCTATGTCCCTTAACTAAACACGAACACTAACATACTAGTGCAAGTACAATGCACAAGAGGCTGGGGGTGCAGCCACTCAAGGCAGGACCCGATCCAAGCACATTCCACTCCCAATTCTAATAATATAACTTGTTGACGGTCCCCCTTAATGTGAGGGGGTAGTTCAGCATAGCCTAGTTCAGGAACAACAACCCACGGTCTATGATCAGAACAGTCTGACTGTGTAGTGACCGGAAAAAATACTGAGTCAGGATACAGGTTCACAGGAAGATGCCGAGCACCAAAGGCAGCAACATAGCTGTACAGGTGGTAGTCAGCTCCAAGACTGCGGGTAATGTGGTACGTCCGACAGGTGGAAGGGCATTCCAAAGGGCAGATCAACAATCCTCGTTATGGCGGCGTCTCCTCTGCGGGAGGCCTTTGCCATCCAGCCACTCCGAGGCTTCGGTGGGTGAGGAAAAGAGTTGTACTTTACCCTCTCTTCTCACTTTGAGTTTAGCAGGATAAAGCATGGCATACGCTACTCCCTCCTGGCGTAACCGCTTTTTGACCTCCAGAAAGGAGGACCTCTGGCGCTGCAATTCAGCGCAAAAGTCAGGGAAAATAAAGACCCGGTTTCCATTGTAGGTAAGTTCCCCAGCAATCCGTGAGGCACGGAGGATCGCCACCTTATCCCTGAAGTTGAGGATTCTGGCAATAGGCCTGGGAGTGGAGCCAGGGGGTGGCATGGAGGGCGGTGTGCCCGCTCGACAAAGGAGGTATAGGAAGGGATGAAATCGACAAACATCTCACTCAGCCAGTCTTGGATAAATGTTTCAGGATGTTGGCCTTCCGACCGCTCAGGAAATCCAACAAAGCGGAGATTATTACGCCTGGAGCGGTTCTCCAGGTTGTCCATCTTGGCTCTACAGGCCGCAAGCTCCCTCTGCAAACCAGTAGTATCCCTGGATAGGGGGGCCACCGCATCCTCCAGGATATTAATGCGGCCCTCTGTTCAGTGACTCTGTCACGCAGGCCCTGTACATATGGATTTAGTAGGGAAAGGTCTACATGGACCCCCTCAATCTGTGATGCCAGGGAGGTTTTACAGTCCCTAATGGCCTCCATTAATTGCAGGAGAGTGGGTTCAGCAGGGGTCTGCGCTTTTGCAGGGACAAGCTCCCCTCCCCTCCCCTCAGTGGTCCCTGGGGCATCCCGGGGGGATTGTAAGGATTTACCCCTCTGTCCCACCTGGCTCGTCAGTGTAGATCCTCCCTGAGGAGCCCCCTTACTTGAGGATGGAGCCGGATTCGTCCTCGTGGAGGAGCGGGAGGCCGCATGTCCGCCGCCATCTTGCCTCTGGAAACGGGCCAGCTTTGCGGCCGCGGAGACATCCTTCTGGTCTCTGATTTTTACCATGGCTGTTGCCGGGGTGGGGTCGGGAGAAAGAGCGGAGGGAGCCCGGGTGCTGTGCACGCCTAGGGAACAGTCAGGATGGAGAGAGGATTCGATCGGGACCGGAGCTGCTGTGATCAGCGTCCGTCCATGTACGCCGATGGCCACGCCCCCACAGCTGTGTCTTTTAATCAACCCTGAGTGAGTCACCAGAAATCATGCAGCTCAAAGAGAAGTGGACCATAACCTGACTTTGGCTGAACTTCATGTGCAGACCCTGTCTATCGTGCACATCCCACACGTGGAAAATTGTCGGTCAACATTTGGATCCCAGATTCCAGATTTGGATTCCTTACATTACCCTGGAACTGTTCAGGACTTTTTCTTGAGTGGGTAATGCTGGACATGGACTCCCTGGCATCCAGGTTTAACAACAAGCTGGACAGGTTTGTCACCAGGACCAAGGATTTGCAAGCCTGAGCTGTGAATGCATTGGTGACTCTGTGTGACCAATTTGGTCTGTAAGTCTTTTATCCCCTAAAACTCTACCCTTGACTCATTCCAGGATTGAGATGGAGGGCATTCCAGTTGTCTTTATTGCTCCTAACTGGCCCAGGAGACTGTGGTAGTGGACGTGGTCAAACACCTGGCAGAGTTTCCAAGGGCACTTCCAGATCAGCCAGACCTACTGCCCCAGGGACTTCCACCCTCCTTCTCAGGCACTGGGTTTAATGGCCTTGAAACCCAGATCTTAAAGAGGACCTTCACCCTTATTTTTAAAATGACAACAAAGGCACCTTTTAAAAAAGTTTTGTAATGACAATGTAAAACAAATACTTGAAGATAATTGCAGGCTTTTTATTCTTTGCATATCTTATTTTTATTTTCCTCCCTATTCTCAAATTAGTCCCTGTCAGGTGGGAGATGTGATGGTGGACTTGGTCCCAAAAGCAGCGTATTTTAGGGCGGTGCCAAAAGATGTGTAGAGGAAAGCCTCTGTCATGTTTACACCTCCAGCACAAAGGAGACACCTGAGGCCAAAACGTATGTAGCAAAGTTGGAGTCCCATACCATCGAGTCATCATTTTATAACCAGATTCCTGGATTCTGCTAAAGATAGAGGTTCTGTGAATCACTGGTGCAGTGATCCAGCGCTGACTCCGGTCTCTTCCTGTCCCATGCATTAACTTATCCTGTGTCTCTCCTTTTCTCCTGGACGAAGATCTGTACTGCGCATGCGCCCGCCCCATCATCCTTTTGCTGCCCCCAAGAATCTTCAGATCTTTGGTCGGGAGCACCTGGCGGAGACACAGGTAAGTTTTTTAACCCTTTTGTAAACGTTTTTGTTTTAAATGTTTTTGCATATATCTACTGATTGCTAGCAGTAGATACATGCAATTATCCTTTAACATTAAAGATCCTTTAATATTAAAGATGCCAGCACCTCAGACAGTGTGGCAAAACAAGTTTTTGGAGACATTCTATTTTCCAATCAGAGAGTGGAAACAAATGGACGTTTTTTTTTTTTCTATTCTGTAATGCTTCTCCCTGTGTTCTATTTTTTTCCCTAGGAAGTTGGTGAAGAAGTAGATGGCAACAGAGTTGTAGTTTAAACGTGTTTTTAAAATATTTTAAGTAATCCTCAGCTTTAGGAAAGCTTCTTCATGCGGGTACAGCTGGCTCTGTCTCTAGGTAGGCAGAGCCAGCTGTCACTTACGCAGCTGGGCGGATCCAGACATAATTGTCGGGATCCGCTTCAGCTGCGGCGTCTCAGTATACCGCGAGCTGTAGCTCACGGTATACTGTGGCATCTCGGTATACTGCGAGCTGTAGCTTGCGGTATACTGAGATTAGGGTGACAGGAGGATGCTAGTTTGTGTCCCCCCGTTACCCTAAGGAGAACTATGGGAAAAAGCCCTAACCCCATAGTTCTCCTTTAAAGGCTGTTTTCTTTAGAAAGCAGCTAGAGCAGAAAAGCTCATGCTCCCTATTAGAGAGCTGTAGCTCTGACTTGACAGGGGGCATTTTGGACTACTGCAGAGAGAGCACTGCTTGCACACTGATTGTATGGTCCTTCTCTGCAGCATACTGCCTGGGGACAGGTTTTTCTGTGTGTACTGCAGCTTTTAAAGGAAACTAACTGTAAGACTGTATGCCGAAACTTGAGTTGGGCTTTAACTACAATGCTTATGTGCCTAAGACGCTATAGGTTTCCTTACAGCATGTGAGAAGACCCTTGGGATTCAAGGCAGCAGCATTGTTACTACTGGGGAAAAAAACCCATTTGCGCATGTGGAGTGCATCAGAGAGATGCAGTTGGAATTTCAGTTCAGCAAAAACACTTTTGATGCAATACTCATCACCTCTCTGGTGCTGTCCCTCACGGTAATTCATTTCTGCCACTGGATTTTCTTAGTCTTCAGGGTTAAATGACACCCAGCATCATTCAACCTGGAATGCTGAGGACATCCTGTGAGTGCAGGACATCATGGGCTAGCCTACTAAGGAAGTATCACTATGGCACCCGGCACTTACATGCAATGAGTGGTGCTGATATAACATCAGTGGCACTCTTAATTATTGATGACTGTCCAGCGATGTAGAATAGAAAGTTGCATCAGGTAGTCAGCATGACCACAACTTAAAGACTGGTTTACAAAACTCACAAAATGCACTCAAGGGGGCGGGCGACTCTGGGGAGCATACCCCTTGTCGATCTTTAAAATCTTCACTGATTTTTCTGTTTTTAGGTGGCCAATTTGGCATGCTCAATATCCAATAATGAGGAAGGTGTGAAACTTGTCCGCATATCGGCAAGCCAGCTGGAAGCCCTATGCCCTCAGGTACTATTGACGTTGTATATGTCTTAATGTTTAAACTTCAACAGAAACCTGAACATGCTTATTTGATATAACATAGAATTTTTGTGTTCTAAATGTCCCTAGTTCTTTTTAGCTGTGTTGTGCTGTATTTAGTTGCATAAGATGTGTCTGCATGCCATTTTGTAAGTCTTTCCTCTGCTTTTCTCCTCCAACATTCCAAAAATCTAATGGTAGATTAACCTTCAGTGAGAGCAATCATTTTAGGGCCATCAATCACTGATAACACTAAACTGATGAGCGGTAACAGCTTTTAAAGCGTCGCCTATGGCCAATTTTGGGTATTATCGTTTTTTGAGGTTTCGCGCGCGCACGCAATTTTAAGGCTTGACATGTTTAGTGTCTTTTTACCCGACGTGACCCCATCTTTTATATTTTACCAAAAAATTGGGTAATAATAAATGTTTTATCATTTAATATAGGGGAAACTGTTTTTTTTTTTAAATTTCGGTAATTTTTCCTTAATATAGTAAAAAAATAAAACCCCCAGTGGTGAATAAATACCACCAAAAGAAAGCTCTATCTGTCCCCAAAAAAGGGTATAAAATTCATTTCAGTACAGCGCTGCATGACGGAATAAATGTCAGTTAAAGTACCGCAGCGCTGAATACTGAAAAATGGCCTGGATGGGAAGGGGGTTTAACACCGCGGATGTCAACTGGTTAAGTAACATTCACCTACATTTTGCTTTGCTGGATGTCTATACATTTTGCGGGTTAATCAGATTGTAAGCCCTTTTGGGAGCAGGAAAAAAATGTAAACAGTCACTACACATGTTGTGAAATTTGTCAGCAATATATGAACATACTTTCACATTCTGTTCTTTATTATTACAATGGCATTTATTGCTGTCATGTGGAGTGCTGGTATATTTTTAGGCAATAAACTTCTAAAAAACTTAGACGTTATGCCAGTTAGTTAACTTAGAAGCGTGTCAGTTATTTAAATCAATTCCTGGATTTTCTAAGATCTTAAGAAGCAGTCATGAATCTCACTATCCTACAGTTTCATTTTATTTTGCGCAGAGGAAGCAAGAGCATGGATCTTGCTTCCTCTGGATGAATGGATGGAAAAAAAACAATTGGGCGGAGCTAGCAGGGACAGCTAGCTCCGGCCAACTGTTTCCTATTGGCCGGCAACTGCTAGAGTCTTCTAGCAGGTCTGGGCCAATGAATAACTGGGCGGAGCTCCCAGTTATTGTTTAATGACAGTTCAGCATCCCTAGGTCATTTTAGGGTGCTGATCTGTCATTACAACTGGGCTGAGCCAGCTGTGAGATCACGGCTGGCTCCGCCCAGCTGTCATTTGCAGGGCGAATGGCCAGCCTTTGGCAGGCCGTTCACCCCGCTTTGGATGTCACTTCGGCTCAGTCAAGCCGAAGCATATGCCTTCGGCTCGGCTGCTGTACGGGCTATACTGAATAGCCCATACAGCAGCCCTTCGGTTCGACTGAACCGAAGAGAGCCAAAAGATCAGCCGACGCGACGGCTGGATCCTTCGGCTCCTTCGTGAATAACCCCCTTAGTCTCTAAGATTATATTGTATAGCCCTATAGTATGTTAAGCTCTTCAAGAAGTTTCTGCTTTGCTTAACCTTCTAGCCGTGTATCTTCTCAGGGTACAAATAACAGTTCAGGGTACAAATAACCTAAAATGGGTTTGATATAATAAAGTATTGTAGCTGTCATAACAAAATATGCTGTTCCCCTGAATTTTGTCAGCAGAGATCTTTTTTTTTTTTTTAAACTTTAATACTTTGTTATGTAATGTAGATTTAAAATCAACATTTTTACCCCAACAAATACATATTAAAACGACATAACAAAAAAAACAGATGACAGTATACAATTCCTCATCGTACCAATTTACATAAGCTACATTTCTTCTCAGAATACCATTATCAGATGGATCAGATATTATAAACGAACTCCCATACTATATTCAATCCACTTATCCCACATTTTCACATATTTATCCATGCTACCTCTATGTTTAAACACAATTCCCTCAAATCCAACCACTCTATTTAATTTTTTCTTCCAATCCTGCACGTTGGGAGGCTTTGTTGAGATCCACCTAGAGGCTATACTGCACAGAGCAACAAAGCGTGCCCTAGTAATGGCCACCACCTTTATAGTACTCCACCTTTAGGGGGAAAAAATACATATCATTGGATTATTATAAATATGAACTCCAACAGCTATATTTATTATGTCCACTATTTCCTGCCAGTATCGTTTCAGCTTCGGACAGCTCCACAGCAGATGTATCAACGAGCCAGGTTCAAACCCACATTTTGGGCATTTAGAGTCCTATCTTATATAGGAATTCAGGGGTCCGATATGTTCTATGTACAATATAGAGCTGTGTTAATTTATGTGATGCAGAAGGTAAGGCTAATTGGATTGAGAGCACCGCCTCCCTCCATAGGGAATCCTCTAATGGGCCCACATAAAGTTCCCAACCCACTTTACATTTCATAGGTGATTTATACAGAGCCCCAGGTAATAAGCTTGACTACATTTTTTAAATCAACCCTCTTGTCATAGTTTGTTAAAGAGTTTAACCAACCTGGCCAACCTGGGAACTATAGGCCGGTCAGTCTAACATCGGTAGTTTGTAAAATGCTAGAGGGCATAATAAAGGATTATCTGGTAGAATTTGTTCAGGAAAACGGGATAGTTAATGACAATCAGCACGGGTTCAGGAAAGACCGTTCCTGCCTAACTAACTTGCTAACTTTTTATGAGGTTGTGCGAAGGGGGTTCTTCACAGTAAGATCAGTTAGGGTCTGGAACTCACTGCCACAGGCGGTGATTTCAGCAAATAATGTGGAATTGTTCAAGAAACTTTTGGACGATTTCTTAAGGGACCGTAATATACAGGGGTACGGGTACTCCTAGAATGAGATCCTAATAGGTTGGACTTGATGGACTAATGTCTTTATTCAACCTCAAATACTATGTAACTATGTAACTATGTTTATCTATACCCATATTTATACTAATACAAACCTCTCGACCACCTGGATGTACCGTGAGCGCATGCCTTAATTGTAAATATTTATCAAATTGGGCATTTGGTAATTAATAAATTGCTTGTAATTGTTGGAAAAAACATGACACCCCATGATCATATATTTGTACCAATGTCAGAATCCCCATTTTCTTGGAGTTTGTTTACCTAATATAATTCCCTATTATCCCATATTGGAGTGTATTTTGTAAATTCGAGAATACCCAATAACCATTTAGTTGATTTATATTTTTTACAAATTAATCTTTATAGGAGTAGAGCTGAAAACTCCAAATATAAAGTTGTCTCAATGTTCATAAGGGAATCTTTGTTTTGAAGCAGATATTTAATGATATATGACCCTATCTTCTGCCCTGATTCCATCCCGCCAAATGTCTTAGTTGTGTGGCTAAAAACATTATCCATGGATTAGGAAGTGCCATACCCCCAGTCCCTTTAGGGTATTGCAAGGTTTCTAATTTTATCCGTGCTTGTTTCTTTATCAACTCCCTAAACACTGTATGTATCCTCCTAAATATAGTTTGGGAGATCCAACATGGAGAATTATACAGTATATAGGAGAGTTGGGGCATCCAAATCATTTTAATAAGATTTAATCTGCCAACCGGCGAGAGAGTGAGTTTACACCATACATTACATTGTTTCTGACATTTCTGTAGAATTGATATCAAATTGTCTTCCACATATACCTCAACATTTACTCTGATCCTAACACCCAAATAGAGAAGTGAATCTACTACTTGTATATGCTGTATCTGTGCCGACAATGGACACGGAAGAAGGTCAATTGGAGGTAACATGGATTTGTCCCAGTTCACACATAGCCCTGAGAATCTACCAAAATCCAGGAGTAAAGACATCACTTCTATTAAGGAATAATTAGTATCTGCTAAAAAAAAAAAACAGTGTATCATCTGCATATAATAGTATATTTTCCTCCTCCTGTACCCCGCTTAAGTCTTATCTGATTTTCTTAAATTAGCGAACGGTTCTATCGCCAATGCAAATATAAGGGGAGACAGGGGACACCCCCATCTAGTTCCCCTTGTCAATTTAAAGGCCGGTGATAAAGCTTTATTTACTTTAATTTTTGCTGAGGGATTAGCATATAATAATTGTATATATGAAATATACCGGGGACCAAATCCAAATGCCCTTTATACTGCCCATAGTCCCACTCTACACTATCAAAAGCTTTAGCAATATCTAGGGATAAAACTCTATTCCCCATTATTTCGGAAGGACCTTGCAAATTTACATATACCCTTCGCACATTATCTGCCTTGATTTATTAGGCATAAATCCACTCTGATCCAGGTTTATTATCTTCTAAATAGCTTTAGAGGACTTTCGCCAAAATCTTAACATCAACTCCCAGCAGCGATATGTGCCTATATGACTCATAACGCATCTTTCCCCTTCTTTTGTAAAACTATTATTGCAGCCATATACATTGACTCCGGTAATCTTCCCATTTCTAAAGCTTCCTCAAAAGTTTGTAATAACACAGGAAGCAAGATAGGGGCATATTTCTTATATATCTCTATTGGTAGACTAGAGCTGCAACAGTTAATCGATTTAGTCAATTAAAATCGACGATTGAAAACGTTGCCAACGTTTTCGATCGTCGATTCGTTGGCTATCGATTGATTTGCCTGTTCGGGGCTCCACACGTGGCCTGAAGCACACGTCACACGCTGTTCCTGTCCCGCTGCGCCCGCAGGACACATAAGCCACGCCCACCGCACGCTGCTCCCGCCATGCCCACAGGACGCATAAGCCACGCCCACCGCACGCTGAAGCCGTGCACGCCGCTGCTCTCCTCCGTGAGCTCCCTCACTCGCCGATGGTATGTCGGGACTACAAATGTAGCTGCCTAATTACAGTTAAAGAATGTGCAAAGGAAGAGAAACAATGTTGATTGACTTT